AGCAGATTCCCAGGAAAGCACGGCGCCACCGATCCAGCGGGCTCCTGGAAATCCCAAATTTCCAGCAGGAGGACGCTGGGGTCTACGAATGTGTGGCTGAAAACGTGAGGGGGAAGAACGTGGCCCGAGGACAGCTGACGTTTTATGGTGAGCAATCTTCTGGGGCTTTATCTCAGCCACCACAATCCGCAGGAAATATTTTGTGAGGGCGTCATTTTGCGAGGGTATTTTTGAAATTCCTTCCTTTTCAAATGGCACATTTTGAGGAGGGTGTAATTTGAAATAAAWCCTGGCRGAATKATGCATTTTAATTGAGAATTAGAGYAGCTGAGATAAAAACACCTCCTTGGAAAGACATTGGTGTGGAAAGGTGCTGGAAACACTTGGGAAGGGCTCGTTTGGCTTCTCCTGGCTGGGAGGGTTGGAGGAAATCTGGGGGAGCATCCTGGAGGTGACAGCTCGGGGTTCATTCTGTATGGGCTGCCCCAGCTTTCCTGGGTAAATATTAATTGCTGATAACCAATTAATGGCTGCTTTCARGAGGATCAGTGATTGCACACGGTGGAGAGTTGGGATTGAGCTCTGTCAGGGCAGAGCGTTCTCCTCCAAAAGGCTTTCTGCACCTTCTCTTCCCTCTCTGAAATCACAGTTCTTGAGCCAGGCACTGTAAAATGGCAAATTCCAGCTTCAGAGGCTTCCCCTGTTMAATGGAAGATTCATTGATCCCTCTCATCCTGGTGCTAGTATCTTCCTGCTCCCAAATTCCTGCTGGAAGCAGCCCCCCAAAGCAAACTGGAAATGTGGATTTCCCTGTGTGCAGTGAGAGCTGCAGGGAGGGGGTTTGGTACCAAAGTTCTGAGAGATTTTGGAGAGGAGAAGATGCAGTTCCACATCCCCACAGGCGTGCAGAGATCTCCAGGGCATCTATAAAATGGTTTTTGTTGGTTCCCTGTTTCCATCTCCAAAGCACAGGTGTTGTTCTTCACACAAAATATGGACAGAAATTCAGGATTTTCTCTCCCAAATGCTCCTGAGGGCCCAGCTTCCATCAGCAGGGGAGGTGGGGCTGAACTCCAGAGATAATGATTTTTTTTTTTTTTATTTATTGTAATTTTGCCACAGAAAGAGGTTGGGAACTTACCCTTGTGGCAAAAGCGGATGTACTTTGGGTAATGTATTTTTTTTTAAGGAAGTAAGGATGTTTTCGAATTAGAAATATTTCTGGCAGACATTTCATTTAGAAATCAGAACTTTGGGGGTTTCCATTTCAAATGAACATTTCTCCTTTTAAAACTGAGYGAAATATGAGAAAATGTTAAAAAGTAGTGAAAGAGCCAAGAACAAAGTGACATCTTTCATATTAAGGAAAGAATCTGGGGTTGATTTGAATGGGTTTTCATTTTTTTTAATTGGATGATTTAAAGATTCCCGTTTCTGTTCATCAAGCACTTTGTTTTTGCTGATTTTTCCCACGTGGGGAGTAAATTAAAGGACTCCTCAGTTGTACAGTTTTGCTCTACCCACGGCCAAAGCTTGGAAAGCAGTAAATGGAGCCTTTGGAATCCTCCCACCATGGCAGATACTGAGTTTTCATCTCATTACTGTGATGAATTTAGTGCTCTGGATCCTACACAAAAGCTGCCACTGGGGCTCGTGCTGGTTTTCACACCCATCATGGCATTTTGGTGGAGAAGCTCAAGATTTTTTTTTTTTTTGCCATGCTGGGGAGTTTTTCCATCTCCTCCCTGGTGGTGGAGGAGTTCCTGATGGAGAGGTGTCAGCCGGACGCCTCTCCTGTTGCAGGTTTTAAAGAAAATTCACTAAAATCTCATCCTTGTTGTCTTGAGATTGGTGATTTTCCCATCAAA